CCAGGGATGGCTGCACACATGGGATGTGCTGCACCAGGGATGGCTGCACCAGGGATGTGCTGCACCAGGGATGGCTGAACCAGGGATGGCTGCACCAGGGATGTGCTGCACCAGGGATGTGCTGCACACATGGGATGTGCTGCACCAGGGATGGCTGCACCAGGGATGGTTGCACACACGGGCTGTGCTGCACCAGGGATGGCTGCACACACACAGCCTCATGATGGCCCTGAGAGCAGAGGCTCTGTCCCCAGATCCCCCGAGTCAGGGGCATTCATGGGGGAGACATCCCAGGCTGGGTGAGCAGGGGGTTCCCTCTGGCAGCCCCTCTGCTCGACCTCAGGTCACCAAACCAGCAGTGCTCCACATCCTCACCAAACCCCTCCATCCTCACCAAACACCAACCCTCCCCACCCCCCTGCAGCCTCCTTGGAATGCAGATCGCCTACTTGGAGCTTTTTGAGACATTTTTAAGAGCTCCTAATGTGCTCAGCATTTTCAGTGCAGCCCTTTCCGAGCCCTCACTTGCTCGCCCTTTGGAAAGCTAATACTTGATTTAAGCACATTTCTGCTCCCTCCATTTGTAAGGACAAATGTAAAGTAATTGTTTGATATCACAGCGGTTTCCTCAGGCTCCAGCTCTAATTTCCCACTAATACAGTATTGTCAGGGGGATCAATCTAACTCAGCACCTTCTGCCTCCTCGGAGTGGATTGGAAATGGCTTTTCTACTACGAGGCTGGGATTTGTGAGTCTCACTGCGAATGTTTTTCTCCTTTAAAGGAAAAATCATACAAGCAAATATTCCATTTTCCTGTCAACAGCTGTTAATCTGGGCTCTCCCTTCACCTGCCCACAGCTGCCTCTGGTTCTCCTTGCTGCTGGGTCCCCCGTGGCTGACAGTGGCAGAGATGCAGATGGGGTTCTCTTAGATGTCCACTAATTACCTCCAATTTTTTCCTGTTAGAGCTCACTGGTCAGTAATCACTCTCAGTAAGGTCTTGCAAACGGGTCCATGGTGTGTTCCATCCCCACACGGCCCCTCTGCACAGCCCTGAGGATTCCCCAGCTCCGTGGCACAGGCAGCTCTGGGGAGGCCTGGGCAGGGCTGTGGTGCCGGTCCCCAGGTCGTGCCGGGCTGACCCCCTGACCTGCCCCAGCCCCCACATGCTCCCTCACCTGCCAGCAGGCACAGGGGCTCCCCACGGCCCCCCAGCTCTGCGAGGGGCTGCCCAGCCCTGCCCTAAGAACAGCCCATGCGGACGGACCGGTGGAAGCCGCTTTATTTACACGAAGGGATCACATGCTGAACAAGGAAACTGGTGCCACTAAAGTACCCGTAACAGCAGGATTCTGTGCTTTATTCACAGGACAAAATATCAGTACAACATTTTCCATGGACTTCTTTGTCAAGCAGACACATCTCACTGTCCTCGTGGGGACACACTGCGCGCGAGTGACGAAGGCAAGTGGAGGGGCCGGAGCTCTGCCTGCCCAGGGTGTGGGGGGACAGTCCCACTGCCACTGTCCAGGAGCACCCATCTGCCTTGGGACGCAGAGGAGGGCCGTGCTTGGAGCAGCCTGCTCACAGGCTGCAGGGTGGGGCCATCACTGTGGCCCTGGGGACCGTGTGGTGTTGAAAGCAAACAGGACCCCACAGGACAAGCCACAGCGCTGCTGCCCCGCAGGACAGGCAGTGCTGCTGGGCCCTCACCCCTCAGCGGGGTGGCTGCAGCAGGACTCTTGTGCCTTCCTTGTCTTGGTTCGCTCCAGAGCATTGCTGGCTCCCAAGGGACAGGGAGGCCCTCGCCTGCCTCTGCTTGCAATTCTGGGCAGGATGAGCCGGGAGGATCCTGGTCCAGCCCCTCGGGCCCCCCTCGTGGAAGATTGCAGCCTCATGTCACTGCAGCACTGCTCCTGGACGCTCATTCCCACCTGAAGTCCTGCCCGACTGTTTCATAGAATTTGATATTATAAGGTCTATAAAAGTCCCGAAGCTGCTCGATCACCTCGGGGTCTATCTGCACGTGAGTCCTGCCCTTGGACTTGCCCAGGCAGCGAGGCAAGCCACTGCTCTCCGACTTCTTCAGGCACGGAAAGCCTTTTGTCTTGTTGAAGTAGAAGTGCTTGTCCGTGATAACCCGTTTAATGCCCAGGAAGTCCTGGACTTTGCCCATCTCCCCAGCCGGATCTGTGATCAGCTTCTCCCCGCTGACAAAGTGGATCTGGGAGAGGGGGAAGTACTGGAGCCAGCTCTCCAGGTGCACGGCATACATCCCGATGCGGATGGCGTTCCAGGAGGTGTCCACCAGCCCCAGGCTGCGGTTGCGGAAGGTCAGCCCCTCGAAGGTGGGGATGTCCGGCTTCTTGGAGAGGGTCTGTGTGTAGTCTGAGATGGCCCTGGTGACCGGGTTCCGCACCACCACGATCAGCTTCGTGTCCCGGGACATGTTGAAGATGCGCCGTGGTGCCTCTTTGGTGACAAAGTAGCTGGGGGTCTTCTCCACCGTGATCTGGCTGTCGAGTGTCCGTGGCATCAGGCTCCTGCGAGCGAAGCACAAGGGGATGGTGAGGAAGGGGCCGGGACAGGCACCAGGAGGTGGTGACTGCAGCGTGGGGCTGCTGGTGTGTCCCTCCCAGTGAGACAAGGCAGGCACAGCTCCTTCTGGCAGCACCGTGGGGGACCCTGGCCATGGATCTCTCCCAGGTCTGTCCCAGTCCCCAGGGACCCCCTGGGCAGAGGATGGGGGCACTGGCAGCCCCTCACACACAGCAGTGGGTGTGTGCCCAGTGCCAGGACGCAGGGACGTGGTGGCTGTGCCACACCACTGCCAGGAGGAGCCGTGGGAAGAAATGAACAGGCCTGGGGGGTTTCTGTGCCACTCCACTGGTGGGAGCTGCGGCAAAGGGCTGTCCAGGGACGTGGGGCTCATGCCCACGAGGATATCACCTGCCCCACCAGGGCCTGACCCGGCCCACGGGCTCTGAGATGGGCTCCCCTCTGTTCCTGGCACAGGGAGCCAGGCTGCAAGCCAGGCAGGGAGCGCCAGACTGGGGGAAATGCAGCATCCCTGCAGCCCAGCTTAGCACTAATTAAATCATTTACTTTGACATGTGAACATCCAAATCAAATAAAAACTAATGGGATGGAAAGATTTATAAATTGGTTTTGTATTACTAGAATAAACTATCAAATCCACCTCAGCCAGATTCCTGGTGCCGTGGGTCCCCAGGATGGAGTGGGCAGTGAGCAGGCAGGGAATGCCTGGCTGGAGTGGGCTGGCAGCCAGGATGAGGCCAGCACTCTCCTGCTGCTCCCACACTCCAGCAGCAGCCATGGTGTGAGCAGGTACAGCATGGATTCAGCTCGTGGGGCTCCCTGTGAGCCCCCTACAATGCACACGGCCGGGCAGGGTCTCCCTGGCTGCGCCCTGCAGCAGCTGCTCACCCCTGCATGGGCACCCAGAGCTGGTACTGCAGTCACGTCACGAGGAGCCCCGGGTGCCCCACTGAGGCTGGGGCCAGCAGGAGCCAGGGAAAGCAAACAGAGCATCCCTCTCTGCAGCCATTTCCAACAGCAGCCCTGTCTGCAGCCATCCCGCTGGAGAGCACGAGGCACTGAGTTATCCATGTGACAAACCTGGCACAGCCACCACGGCCACGCAACACAGGGGCTGCAGTGCATCAGTGACCAAGATCTGGCACCTCCAGGGTCCCCAAAACACAGGTCACAGCCAGGAGCTTTGGGCCGAGGAAAGACCTGACTGGGACAAGATCCAACAGCAGCCCACGACACCCTGTGTGACACGGGGACAGCCATGGAAGACTTGGGACATCACAGGGATCAGCAGCACACGCCAGGGCACAGCCCACATACCCTCACATGCTCTTTGACCAGCTTCCTTGTTCCAGAGACAACAAACTAATTACTTGGCATAAATTAGCAGGGCTGGTTCACTGAGGTACCTGAGCATGGACGGGGCTTAATTGGCCTTTCCCACTGCTCCACTTCAAACCCCATAAATCCCGCTTACGATTCCCGTTGGTTAATGAGTGCTGGGAAATGCTAATTCAGCGCAGGCACACGGCTCTATCTCCACATCACAAACAAGTTTCATCATAAATCAGCGTGGGACAGCTCTGTAAGTGATTCACTATTACAATATATCGTGGAGAATCATAAAACTGCTGTTTCATTAATGGCTCATCCTCAGGCCTGTTAGACTTTCATTACGTGAGTTATTAGGTCCATGCATTCAAAAACAAAATTACAGGTTCTAATCCATCACAAAAAACACAAAACCTCTGCATAGTAAATTACTGAAATGAGACAAGAGTTGTTTTTTTTTAAATGGACTCCCAATGTTTGCTGCTCCTGAACAACAGAGACTGCTGAGACAACAAAACACAGCCCGGGCAGATAAATAAATCACCAGTGAAACCAAGCAAGGGGGAGACATGTCATCCAAGCATTCATCTTCCGCTAACGGCAGGATCCCCCGGGCTGCAGGAGCGGGGAAACGCATGGCAAAGTTAATTACACCTGACTTTAAAATGATATTTTTGGACTTCTGCATTCACAGAGTTATTTGCATACAAATAGCATGTCACACAGCTTTATGCCCCAGGCTTGCCTGTGTAGGTGTGAAGGCTCTCGGTGCTGGCCCTCAGTGCTGTGTGGCCAGGGCTCAGCCAGGAGCCTCTCTGGCTGCTCCACGGACACGTCCCGTGGCTCTGCTGATGTCCCCAGCCAGCCTTGGCACCGGGGCTGGTGTGCTCTGAGCCAGCTGCTGCCACAGCACTGCCAGCACGGGGACAGGGACGCACGGGTGGCACTGGAGGGATGGCTGGAGCACCCGCTCAGCACATTGCTCTGGCTGCAGGGACAGCATCAATTCCTCCTGAATTAGAGATTACTTTCATTAGAGTTACTCAATTCTTAAAGCCCCTTAGTGTTATTTGATCTGGGCATTAACACTCCCTTCAGCCCAGATTTAGAGCTTGGTTTGCCCGTGTTAGTGACACGGGGACATGTGTGGGTGCAGCCCAGGGAAGCTGCTGTCCCTGACGTGGCCCAGCTGTGTCCCATGGTCCCTGGGGGTCAGCTCGGCCCCCACGGCCCCCACGGCCCCACCACCCCATGGGTGCTGGGCAGCAGCAGTGCAGAGCCTGCCCGGCTGCAGCAGTGCCTCACCCTGAAGGAGTTAACTCCTCACCAGCACCTTTCTGAGCCCTGAATTATTAATTTTGTTATAATCTGCCTTTGGGCACCCCGCGGCCCTACAACACTCCCACATTAAAGAAACATGGGCTCCCTCACTGGCTGCTCCGCTTTGATGTCGAACATGCGTGAAACACTCTCCCAAGGAAAAATTTGTACAAAACCTCATCAGTCGATTGAGATGTTGCAGATAAGCACGGGGAGAGCAGCACCCACTGATAACACCATCTCAGCCCCGGTCCCGCAGAGCAGCCCCGGGTCAGTCCCTCCCTGCTGCAGCCGCTGTGTGCGGGGGCTGGAGGCTGACGTGTGTGCTCCTGGGTTCCATCCACCCAGCAGCACAAAACAAACTGTTTGATTTGGCAAAAAATCCCCGAGTGCCTGCTCCTGTGATGAGAGCTCTGCGCTTCCCCTCTCCCGGCTGATGTCACCGGCAGAGAAGGGTGGGCTGTGAGTGTGTCTCCAGCTGCAGCTCCACGTGCTGGAGATGAGCACAGAAAGCACAGGAGTCAGCACCGGCTGCCCACAGGACTGTGCCATGCCGTGCCATGCCGTGCTGTGCTGTGCCACACCGGGGGTGAGCTCAGGGACAGCAGCACCTGCTCTGCCCTGGCCCCCTCTGCTCAGCAGGACAACGGGCAGGGGGGGATGAAAAGCTCCAGCAAAGCTACGGGGAGGGTTTAAGCAAAACTGGGTCAAACGTGAGAAACCAAGGTGTGAGGAAGATAAAAAGCTCTCTCTGGCTGAGGGACACTGCAGCAGCCGTCGAGGACACCCTGACTGAGGGCTGCACCACAGCCAAGGGCTGCGAGGGGCTGAGGGGGCAGAGGGGATCCCCCAGTGCTGCTCCACAGCCTCCTGTGACCTGCAGGCAGCACCCTGGGGCCAGGGACCAGCTGTCCTGAGAGGAGGGCCCTGCAGTGCCCAGTGGGACAGGCTGGCTGTGTCCCCCAGCCTGCAGAGAGGGCACCACGTCCACAGCTGGAAACACCACCCAAGGGCCCATGGCCCCAGCAGCAGCTGGCCCAGCCCCACAGCCCCACAGCCACAGCCCTGCACTACAGCAGCCAGGATTTAATGATGGAGCCGCTGCCTTTAATAAATGTTTATGTTCAAAGAATTTACACCAGTGCTCTTAGACGGCTAATGAGGGACATTTCCATGCATAAAAGCAGAGCGAACACAGTAATTAACTTTGTTGCTGATTCATTTTTAATCATTTAAATGCTCCAGAGATTTGCACTGTCCTTTAAGTCAAGAGATTCTTTTCCAAAGGGCACACACACACTCCTACCTTCCTAAATAACTGTCCAGCACTGACAGAGGGTCTGGCAAAGGCCAAGGCTGGTGGGGTGGGAGGTTTCCCCCATGGCTTTGCAGAGCCCAGCTCACAGCCCTGCCACCAGGTACTGCCCTGTGCTCATGGAGACAGGCTGGGGTCCCTCCCTCCCCAAGGCAACTCCTTCCACAGGTGAAACTTCAAAACTGAATATTCATTTTTAAAACCACCACATGTGCCACAGCTGCTGCAGCAATTCCTGAGTGAACGGCCCACATCAGAGCCGTGGCACCCACTCAGGGACCTCCTGGGGCCAGGAGCCTGCAAATGGATGGGACAACATGCCAGCACCAAGCACAAACCCCACCAATCTGGCAGCAGCCCCTGAAGACCCCTCATCACTCACGGGGGGCACTGCCTGCCCTGAGAGCCAGCTCTGGTCCTTGCTCCCTGGCGCTGGCCATCTCCAGACAGACACCACGGACAGACACCGTGGGCAGTGCCTGGCCCTGCCATGGACACCCAGGGTCACCAGGGCCTGGCATCCTTTGCTCTCAAGCCTCACAGAGCAGCTGTGCCCATGGCATGCCAGGTCACCAGCTGGACTAGTGCTTCCAAAGCAAAGGTAAGAACAAACTGCAGCATTTACAAACAAGGTCAAGGAACAGAGCAAGGATAAGCATTGTTGATGCCAAAGGCTTGGCATCCCATGTGGGTTCATCTCCAGCGTCTCCCCCAGCTCTCTGGGGAGGGAAGCCCTCCTGGACTGAGTGAGGGCATTGGCAGGACCCGGCCCACCCAGAGGGCAGGACAGGCAGGACTGCTGCCCACAGGCAGCACGGGCACGGCAGTACCCAGGGAACACGCTGCCAGGGACACCTCCTCACACAACAGACTCTGCCAGGGCTCCCGTGTCCATTCCCGAGACCGAGGGCACTCTCTGAAGCCAAGGAAATTTCAAAGCATCCTCGGAAGCTTGCTGCCTTCCTCCCTTCTCACTAATTAACTTTACCAAAATGCGCTGTCAGTCAAGCCCCCACACACTCCCTGTCGCCGGGCAAAGCCTAATGGGCTCCCATTTGTGT